GGATGCCCTCCACCTCAGTACTAGGGACTGAACCCAGGGACACTCTACCACTGAGCTATATCCTCAATGCTTTTTAAATTTTTGTTTTTAGACAAGGTCTTACTAAGTTGCTGAGACTTTCTTCAACTTGTGATTCTCCTGCCTCAGCTTCCCAAGTTGCTAGGATTTCAGGCATGTGTCACTGCTCTCAGCAGGATGCCCATCTTTACCACACTTATTCAACATAACATTGGAAGTTCTAGCCAGAGTGATGAGGCAAGAAAAAGAAATAAAGGGGGCTGGGGATGTGGCTCAAGCGGTAGCAAGCTCGCCTGGCATGTGTGCGGCCCGGGTTCGATCCTCAGCACCACATACAAACAAAGATGTTGTGTCTGCCAAAAACTAAATAAATAAATATTTAAAAAAAAAAAAAAAAGAAATAAAGGGTATCCAAAGTGGAAAGAAAGAAGTGAAATTGTCACTATTTGCATATAACACAATCTTATATATGGAAATCCCCAAAGAATCCAACAAAAAACTATTAAATAAATTCAGCAAAGTTGCAGAATACAAAAGTAACATAAAAATAGTAGTATTTATATATGCCGATAGAAAATTATCTAAAAAAGAAATTAAAAGGCAATCTCATTTACAATAGTTACAAAAAATCCTAGGGATAAATTTAATTAATACATTTAACAAAAGAGCTGAGAGATCTCTGTAATGAAAACTATAAAGCATTGATGTAAGAAATTGAAGAGAATACCAAAAAATAAAAAAATAAAAAAGGGGTGGGGGGGGTAGAGACATCCTGTGTTCTTGGATGGGAAGAATCAATATTGTTAAAATGTTTATAGTACCCAACAGACAAAGTAATCTACAGATTCAATGCAATCCCTATCAAGATACTAATTACATTCTTCACATAAGCACAAAATAATTCTGTGTATGCAACCACTCATGCACATACACACACAAATAACCAAAGCAGGAAGTTTTCTTCAGCAGAGGGCTGACTTCAAAATACACTACAAAGAGGTAGCCACTAAAACAGTAATACAATGCATTAAAACACATTAACACACACACGGGCCAATGGAACAGAAACAAGATCCCACAGTTAAACACATGCATCCATAGCCCACCGATTATCAATAAAGGTGCTAAGAATACACATTAGAGAAAGGAAAGTCTGTTCAACAAACGGTGCTGGGAAAATTGGAAAGCTACATGTAGAGGAAAGAAATGATACCCCTCTCTCACCAGTTACAAAAATCAAGTCAAACTAAACTAGACTTACATGTAAGGCCTGAAACTATGAAACTAGTAGAAGGATAGGTGAAATGCTTTAGGACATTAGAGTGAGCAGGTATTTCTTGGATAAAACCTCACAGCATAGAAAAAAAAAAAGAGACAACCTATAAAATGCAAGAAAATATTTGCAAACTATACATCTGACAAGGGACTAATATCCAGAATATAAAAGAAACTCAAAAAATTCACAAAACCCCCAAATAGTCCAATTGAAAAATAGGCAATATAACTGGACATTTTTTCAAAAGAAGTCATACAAATGGCCAACAGGTTTATACAAAAAATGTTCAACATCACTAATCATCAAGGAAATAAATGCAAATCAAAGTCATAAAAGATACCATCTCACTCCAATTAAAATATCAAAAATGAAAAATAACAAAGTTCATAAGTGCTGGTGATTATGTAGAGAAAAAGGAGGACATACACAATATTAGTTTAAACATAAATCAGTATAGCCATTATGGAAAATAGTGTAGTTTCCTCAAAACAAATTAAAAATGGAACTATCATATGATCCAGAAATCCTCTGAGTACTATGTACAAAGGAAATGAAATCAGTGTGTTATACAGGCATCCACCACACTCTCATGTTTTTTATACCACTATTCATAATAGCCAAGAACCGGAAACAAACTATACCTTAAGACAACCAAGTTAGAGATGAGGAAATGCTTTCCTTTATAGAATTCCAGCTCGTAAACACAGAAGAAATGACAGAGAAAAATCACCACTTTTTAAAAATATGTATTTATTTATTTTTAGGTGGACACAATATCTTTATTTTATTTTTATGTGGTGTTGAGGATCGAACCCAGCACCCAGCGCACGCCAGGCGAGCATGCTACCACTTGAGCCACATCCCCAGCCCCCAAAAAACACCACTTTACAACCACTAATGTAACAAGTCCAGCAGTCACCATCAATACCTGCTAACACCATCAGGTAAGAATTTGAAGGGGAATTTGATAATGAAGATATGAGGTTGCCATCTGAACTCAAAACATAATAATAATCAGGCTTAGCATCACTAAAAGTGGGATAGCCAGATATAATGTATTTTATGCAATAGTAAGAATACAATATCATCACATAATGAATGAACGCATGAAAAAGAACATGGATCTAATCAAGATTACATTTCACTATCAATTTATGGAAAACTTGGATAGCAGTAAGTTAAATTGCCTAGTACAATTGAAAAAATAGGCAGTAGACCTAAATGAACATTTTATCAAAAGAAGTCACACAAATGGCCAACAGGTTTATACAAAAAATGTTCAACATCACTAAATAAATGCAATCAATCAGAAAGCAATTGACCAAATCAAGAATATGGGATAACCTACTACACAAATGACCTTGGTTATTCAACAAATACATGGCATGAAAAAAACAAAATAGGAATGGGGGGCAGTGACTGGTAGAGATTAAAAAAGATTTAAGAGGAGACATAACAAATGTAGTGTGTAAACCTTGTATAAGTCTTGACGCAATTCTACAAATCTTAATTCAAGGCAATGAATAATTTTTTTTTGAGACAATTGTACAAGTCTTGACGCAATTCTACAAATCTTAATTCAAGGCAATGAAAAAAAATTTTGAGACAATTATGGAAGTCTTAATATAGGTTGGGTATTAAATATCACCAAAGCATTAAATTTTTAAGTGTAGTTGTATCAGTATTGCTTATATATTTTAAAAAATTTTCGCACTGAACTACACCCACAGCCCATCTTTCTTTCATTCTTTCCCCCCCCTTTTTTTTTCTTGTTTTAGAGATAGGGTCTAAGTTGCCCAGGGTGATCTCTAATTTGCAGTCTTCCTGCCTGTACCTCCCAATTGGAGAGAAATATGGATCTCTGCCACTGCACATTCCTAAATTTCTAAAGTGTTCTTATCAGCTAGAGATGCAGCCTCATTTACTGGCCATATCACATGCTATCTTTAATTTTCTTTTAAATACTGAACAAAAATCATGTATGGTGACATATGCCCGTAATCCCAGCAGTTCAGAAGGCTGTGTCAGGAGAGTTGCAGGTTTGAGGCCAGCTTGAGTAACTAAGCAAGACACTGTCACAAAATAAAATAAAAAGGACTGAGGATGTAGCTCAGTAGTAAAGTGGCTCTGGGTTCAATCCCGACAGTTCAAAACCAACCAACCAACCAACCCAGTGTGAGTAAGTAGAAGTAAGATTAGCAAACTTGCTTACTAGTTGAAGCTGTGTGATGGGTACATGGAGGTTATGTTTCTATGAAAAAAGAAAAAGCTTGGGAGACACATCAAAACTCACTTGAGCTGTTCTAGCACTTTCTTCATCACAGCACAATTTTATTCTTAGCCTTGAGTTCTGGTACTAGAAGGACTTTTTGTTGTTGTTGTTGTTGTTTTTGCATTCCATTGAGTTTTCTGAGGATTCCTACAATCCATTCACACTTTCACACCCATGACTGCTTCAAACACAAGAACCAAGAAGTTATTTTATGAAAGAACCCAAAAAGCATAAATGATATTCTCTGCCAAACTAGCAGTCTTTGAATTCTCATTCCCTGGGTAAGGTAGGTTTAGGAGGGTGGATCTGAGGTATTGTTTATCCATTTCCAGTAGAAATGTAGGATATGGCTTATTTACCTTCCCTCATGTCTTTTTTCTTTTTTGGGGGGAGAGGTCAGGGATTAAACCCAGGAGTGCTTAACCACTGAGTGATAACCCAGACCTTTCTATTTTTTTTTTTGAAACAGGATTTTTGCTAAGTTGCTGAGGCTGGCTTTGAACTTGCAATCCTCCTGCCTCAGCCTTCTGAGCTGCTGGAATTACAGGCATGCCACTGCACCCAGCAACTGTGTACTGACAGATTTTCAATGACTTCTGGGTAATGTGAAAGCTGACTGTGAATACCTTACAATAAAAAAAGGCAGAATTGAAAAAGCAACCACTTTGCAAAGAAATTTTAATTTCAATATTTTAATATACATAAACCTCAAAATGGATATTCATATGCTTTATGACACCTGCAATATACTTATGGATGTATTTGTTAAATTCTAACCTCAATTTTAGGAGTTGTCCTCATCGACAATGCAGTTAAGACATAGTTTGCTGGCATTCTAACTGCTAAGCTCATACTCCAGGCAAATACTAGAACTTTTTATTCATAATTTGTTTGACACCCAATTTTTGCTAATTAGCATATTAAAGGTCAGGCCCATGTATTGGGGAAATGGCTTATAGACTAACATAATATTAGAAATTTGTTCTTTCTAGTGATATTGAAGATAGAACCCATCCAGGCCTAGAACTGCCCACTTTCTTAAAGATGGCACAGCACCTGGGTCTCAATCACTGTTTACAGCCCTTTCACTAAAGTTGGTTACTTGATAGTGATCATAAAAGGGAATCAAATGGGATATTGCCTTGTCTGCCTTGAGTAAACCTTTCTCAGGAGGCTGGTTCAAGAATCTAAAAGGATAGAAAACTAAAACTGCATTGAGTATACTTTTGTGCTTGTTTGTTTAGTAAATGTCTGAATGTGAGGCAGATTGTGGCCTAAGACATGTTTTATGGTAATCTGGCAATGAGGATGTAAGGGAATTGCTACCCCAAATCCATTTCAACTTTCGAAGCTGCTATCTATGTAACCAAAAAGAACCCAAGTTGAGGCTGAAAAAATAGATTGGGTCAGTTCACAACAATCATATGATACACATTTAAATTTTTAAATTTTATTTAAACACTTCACATTAAGTGAAATTTAATCATAACCATTACAGAGCATTACCACAATATTCACAAAGAATTTTTAAAATAAAAGACAAAAGAATACAATCTTCAACAAGTTAAATGCCACTTTACTATGTAAACCAAAATAAAATAAAACCCTGATGCTAAAAAGGTACATATTCAGAGGTAAAACAGATACAAAAACATTTAAACATTGACATTATCCACATTCTTTGCAAGAGAGTACAAATATTAGTACCCTACATCTACAAAATTTCAGAATCCTGTTAAAATCAAAACCATCTCTGGTTTATGATACAGCACAATTCATAAGGCAAAAATATAGGCATTATCATCCAGTTCTTTAATTTCACTTGTATTTTAAGGCAAACTTGGAACTTTTTGCTTAGTATTTTAAAATGAATGAAACTTTACACATGATAACTTGACAAAATTAACAATAAATTATCTCTAGTTAAATATGTATAATATAAAAGACATATGGATAACAATTTTTCTCTCTGCAGAGATGTAAACTGGATTTTTATTTGACTCCATATTCACACTAGTAAGAAAATTTGTAAACCTATAATATTTAAAATGTACTTATTGTATTCCTGTCTCATCAATTGTGTCTCAACATTGAAACAATATACTGTAAGCGAAAAGTCAATATATATCCAGCCACAGAATCGTTATCTAATTAAATCATGTCTAATTAAAGTGCTGTTTACAAAAGGAAGAAAGGTTAAAGAGTAGAACTGGATGTTAACTTGACATGAGACATTTATAATTTCTTAACTTTCGACTACAGAGGTTATAGAGGTTATCACAAGTTTATTGAACTTTAAGCAGTAAATTTACTGTAGAATCTGATTTTCCTGAAAATGAGCACTTAGGTGACAATACTAGGAATCCAACACCAAAACTGAAAATTAACACAGCATGATATGTACATATATTTTCCTCAGTGTTAGCCAGAGCTTTGATATTCTAGGAAATAGTTTGGGTTTTTTTCCCCCCTTTAGTTTTGTTTTTCTTCTAGGAAATAGTTATCCAATTTCAGGAAATGTAGAGTTCTATAAGTCAAGTTTTTCATAATTCTTTTTCATGCCATTAAAACCTAATCAGACTCTAAATAATTGTTTATAAGTAATCTAGGTGTTTAGGAAATTATGAAGTTGGAGACAAGGAATTAAATTTATATTTTACCATACAGTTATTGGGGTACAGGACTCCTACACTGCATTTTACTCTTTTAAGTGAAAAGCCACCACAGAATCTAACACAATATCTCCTTCATAAAAGTAGACCCTCCATATCTGTCAAACCATCAAAATAAACTTTCAAAACGTAATGTCATTTTCCTATCACTTACTTTTTCCTATCACTTGCTGTTACTTCCTATAATATTCATCCATATTTAAAACAGTATTAGCAATAACAAATGGAGCTTGTAAGTAAAACTTTAGATTACATTAAAAATTAGTTAAATTAGCCAGGCACAGTGGCACATGCCTGTAATCCCAGCGGCTTGGGAGGCTAAGGCAGGAGTATCCCGAGTTCAAAGCCAGCCTCAGAAAATGTGAGGCACTAAGCAACTCAGTGAGACCCTGTCTCTAAATAAAAAAATAAAAAATATAAAAATAGCTAGGGATGTGACTCAGTGGTCGAGTGCCCCTGAGTTCAACCCTTGGTACCAAAAAAAAAAAAAAAAAAAAAGTCAACTCTTTTCCTACATCCAACAAATATTAAATTGCCAAACATTCCTAACAGATTAAATCTTTATGTAATGTAATTATAAAAGGCAATTATTTTGCACTCGATTATATTAATTTCTATTCTCCTCTGCATTCTTTTCCAAAATATTTCTGGGCAATTCTAAATTGCTTTAGCTTGCCTGAAGATATATAATCATTTCTAATACCATTAAACCTGGGGATTTATAACCAAACATTTTGATCCTTTTTAAGAAGAAACATGTGGCTTTAAATTCACAATTTTTCAGCAAAGTATTCATAATGAAACTTCTCACAAATCTCTAAGAGAAAGCTCTATTGTAAACTTACCAGTTGTCAAGTCATATTAGTAGTTCTGGATGTTATGAACAGTACAAAAGCAACCTTAAAATAAATATATTTCTAAATTTGAATATTTTTTTCTTCACAGGTTTTCATAATTTGTTCACTGGTACATGGCTTCTACTATTGCCCAAGATGTTTCACATTTAGTCTTCACCAGATGATATTTAGATTTTTCAAAAATAATTATCAGTATATGCTTTTGATCTAATTTACCAAATAATTATATGTTTTATACTAACTTGATAGTGGAAACAATACATGAGTTAAACATTGTTAAAAATAAAGCAGTATGGATGTATTCACAATTAAAATAATTTTCTATAGTCTTTCAAATTCCCTTATCTTCTGGGAGAAGGAAATCAAAAACAGTATAATAAGATGTATTTAATACTATGATTCATACAAACAAAGACAACTGACTTAGGGGGTTAACAGTAAGGATGTAGAGGGCTAGGAATATAGTTCACTTGGTATAGTGCTTGCCTCACATGCACAAGGCCCTGGGTTCAAACCCTGGCAACCCACCCCCCCAAAAAAAAAGAAAAGAAAAAACAACAACAGAAAACCAGTAAGTATGTAATGGAATCTATTTTAAATTGCTTTTCTTTATATAAAGTTTAGGCCAACCACAGTAGTGCACCTTATTACTATTCAACAGATTTATTCAAAGCAATGAAAAAGTTATTGCTATATATCATTGTTATTCAAACAAGCAACATACAAAATACTCATTTGATTTTATTAGTAGCTCCTGTTGAGTTCTAAGTTAGAAGAGACTAAAAATCACTTGCAAGATTTTATAATCTGTGCAAATATTCCTAAAGCATGATTCTACTTTTTTGATTAAAGATGATTTTACATAGTTTTGTAGTATATAGTCAACTCTACAACAGGTAGTTTATGGAAGAACAAGGAAAACTGCAAATTACCTGGTTATAGTTTTTAAGAAATAACATATATGCTAACAACTGAACCTATGTTTTATAATTACAAATGGCTTCTTAACAATAGTTTTAGAATATCATGGCACTTAAGAATGCTGTGTGAATTATTAGGAAAAATGTACAGTGGTCTTGCAGAGACTTTATAAAGAGATAGTGGGCAAGAAAAAAATTAAGAAAATAAAAACAAAATGACTACAGTACCCAAACACAAGTACCAACATCATAAAAAACTGCAAGTTAATGTGTTTAAGACTTACAGACATTTACTAAAACATGCTTGAAAATAAAATAAGTTAACCATATCTTTTAAATAAGTGTTTACTGGCTAATGCAAACAATTTTGTTTTAAAAGATCATTTCCTTAATCAAAGCAGAACTAAATTAGAACCATTAGTCAAGTAAACATTGAGTTCCAGTTTTCCTCAATAACTTTAAAATATTCAGTTACCTAAGAAATGTACAAAGTAATGCATAACTGCCTAGGGCTTATATTTAATGCATATATTTCTGTTTTTCAGAAGGATGTAATCCAGCAGAAGAACAAAGAAGACCAAAAGTGTATCTTTCTTTAAATCACTATTCAGTAACCATGAAAAACCTAACAGGCCATTTAGATGATTTTTGGATGTTAACATTAGTGTACTCACTAACATTTTTAATAAGCACAAACAAATTAAGCCTGTAAAATGAAAAACACTATCAAATTATGCCATGCATGTCACACCAAACATCCAAAAGAACATCTATTATAGCCTTGTTATATAGATCCTACAGTTAGCACCATTTTTATATCTGAACACTTGGAAAATGCAAACAAAGATCTTAAAAAAAAAAACTAAAATTATTATAAGTTTACATGAAAAAAATCAATAAGCACTAAGGTTGGTCCTAAACACTTTCAAATATTTACATCAACACTGGGAAGCCTGTTGTACTACTGAAGAAAAACTAAAACAACTGGTATGATCAGCTCATTCTATCCATGCTTATCATAGCACAGACAAGTAACTAAATTCATCCAGCATTAACCTGCACATATACAAAAGGCATAAACAGTAAGTATCTGGCTTCTTAAAACAGGGCCCCAAATAGGACAATAAAACCAATTGTCTTGCAAATATATTACACCACTAGTCCTAAAACCAATTTAGCAGGAAGAATATTCAGATGACTCACTATGACATGTTATTTACAACCTTTAAAAGTACCAAAAGTAAAAGCAGCCCTTTGTTTTAAAAATGTGAAGCATATGAATTTACATACAACAAGCAGTATAAACAATCTGTCCAATCATTCAATACACTTCAGAATCTAAAGCCTCTCTCATCCTAGTAAATCATGATACATATCAAGGAAAGAGAGCTAACAATAAAAAAAAATTAAAAAGCAGCAAGGTTTTCTCCATTTAGGAACATAAAACAAGTCTATCTCAGTCTTGGGAAAGAAGTGCACAATTCCATTGGCAAGGTCTTTCCTTTTTCTTCTTCTTCTTCTTTGATTATTGATTTACTGTGTAACCAAGAGCAACCAAAACTACTTGTCAATTCAAAGTACCCAACAAAACTTTGAGTCTTCATGCCACTTCAAGTTAAAATAAAAGCAATGTAGCTTTTAATTTTCAGAAAACTGGACATCCTTTTGTGTGGCACAAGTTTCACTACCACATGATTTCCAGGAGTTCACTCTTATCAAAGTGCAGTTAATCCAAAATTGCATCGACAGTATATCATGCCTGCTGAATCCAGCCACGTATCTGAGATAGGGTCATATTTCTGCACTGTGTTCAGATAGGAAGACCCTGAGTGACCCCCAACTACATAAAGGTAGTTATCAATTACTGCAGCACCAACTCCTAGGAAAGGTAGATAAAAAGAAGATATGTTAGCTATGAAGTCTATTTTTTCTAAAAACCAATGTGTACTTTAATGTTTTCTTAAAATATATTTCAACACTCTAACAAGCAACATAGAAATATACTTAATAGAAAAACACATCCTTAACATAAGAGTCAAATTATTCTTTTACCTCTGCTCTCCAATCCTACTCTCCACACCCCTGCCCCCAACAGCAAAGTACTATTTAAATTTTGATTTTTAATGAATTGTACACATTCACAGGGTTCAATGTGACACTTTAATATACGTACATAATGTTTCATGATCAGATCAGGGTAAACTATGGCAGAAAAGTATTATTAAGGCATTTCTATATGCTTTAAAATCCATTTATATTTATATATTTTCTAGCAATCATGCATTTCATCAGGTTTTCAAATATACTGAACTATATAATTTATGCTTTTAAAAATTATCCTTTATATATTATTATATATATTTGAAAAAAAGAACAAGTCTACACAAAATTTTAAATTATTGTTTGTAAGGCTTTCCCTATCAAGAATGCTGAAAAAAACTGATTACAAACAAACTCTGAAATGGTTAACTCCATTTTGTTCTGTTAATTTCCTTTTGATATTTATGTTTTAAAACCTGCCCCTTTAAATAATGTCATTTGAGTTTGGGTTAAAAAATAACAATTTTCCTTATTTTCAAATGATGTATTTGCTTTTTCTTTAGGAACCCTGAAATCCAACCCCTTTTCTTATAACTGTGTCCCTTGGGAAGGACAGAACATTAAAAAGTAAATGTATGAATCATTGATGTACAAAACAAAATAGAACAATACAAGGAGTGTGTGTGTGTGTGTGTGTGTGTGTGTGTGTGAGTGAGAGAGACAGAGAGAGAGAGGGAGGGAGGGAGGGAGGGAGGTTGGGATTATAAAACATACAAATCGATGAGATTTATTATACGAACAAAAAAAAAAAAGCTTCTAGAAAGATATATTCTATTATCAGCATTTCCCAAAATGTGTTCTTTCAAGTTTGAGAAAATGATAATATACCCACAGGTATATTAAAAGCACAGTTAAGAAATCTATGTTGTTTTGCCTAGCTAGTTGTTTTTCAAGTTTATAACAAAAAAGTTTTTCTGGAAAAGTAATACCCTTGTTCTTCTACGGAACTACTATTCCAAGAGCATCACTGTAGAAAGCACAGTCCTATATTTTTATAAATTCATAAATTATTATTACCTGTTCTAGGTTCTTTCATTGGTCTACACACAGTCCACTGATTTTGATGGGGGTCATATCTTTCAATGCTTGACAAATGTGAGACACCATTATGTCCACCCACCACAAAAATAAAGCCTAGCATGACACCCACGCCAAAGTGAATCCTTTTATCAGCCATGGATGCAACCATCTCCCAGGAGTCTTTACTTGGATCATAACGTTCCACACTGCAAAAATTCACATGACAAAAGAATTAATTTACAGATCCTTTGTGTCACATTTTCTGCCAAAGCAAAACTAAAACCTGCCATGGTTTTCAAAGTTCAATAAAGAAACAGATACAAACCAAGAGTAGTCTATCCCAAATATTTAGATTTTTGCCAATAAGTTTACAGAATTAAAAGTTTACCTTGTGAATAGGGTTCAACAATAACTGTTTGCTATTCCATTATACAATCATTCTTTAGTATTCATAAGGAATTGGTCCCAGAACCCAAGTGGATACTCAATCCCTTATGTAAATAGTGTAGCATTTACACCTAACCTTCTATATACTTTATCTCTAGAATACTTACATCTAATTTAATGTAATGCTATGTAAACGGTTGTTGTATTATTTAGGGAATAAGAAAAAAATCTGTACATGTTCAGTATAGATGCAATATTTTTTCAAATATTTCTCATCCATAGTTGGTTAAACCCACAGATGCTGAATCTGCAGATAGAGAGGGCCAACTGTACTGTTTCAGCAACAGGTATATTAAAGGCACAGAACTTAGACAGAAGACCTGGGTTTAAGTACAAATGCTGCATTTCTAGAGCTGGACTAGCCCTACCACTGTGGCTCTGTGTAAACCTGAATACACCATTTCATTTCACCTGAAAAAACAGCACAACTCAAAGGGTTCATATAATAAAATCAAACAAGAATGCATTAGAAAATTACAAATATTTTTAAGAAAACTAAGGATACACAGATAAGGAAAAGAGAAGAGAAGGAAGGAAGAGCAGTGTTTTTTCTCACAGGATAATTCATGTGATTTCAGTACAGAGCACACTACAGATTCCATAGCACAAACTGGTTAATCATAATAATTTCTGATTGATTTAGGAGAATTTAGGATTAAAGTTAGGTATGCATCCAGAGAACCTGTGGTAGTTCCAAGTTTGTTATAGAGACCCATATCAAATCAGAATTTTCAAAAAAGCTTCTTCAGACCATTTCAGAATATTTTTAAGCCTGTTGTTTGCCCTGAAGGGGCACAAAGGCACAAAGGTAAACTTATTGAGCTTGTTTTGGTTCTGATCTCACTTTCTGAAAAAGGCTTAGGCATTTGAGATGCTGCTAAGCTCATTCTGGAAATCATAATAGAGACTAGATAACAGTGTTTGTGAAAAGATTTCATGATAAACCCATTAGACCAAAATCATGGGACAAGAAAAGTTGATGAACTCTAGCAAGACTTTAAAAATCCAAGAACATTATCTCAACATTAAAATACGTAAATCTTTTATTTTAGAATTTTTTGCCAGAAGTTTTTCAAAGAATAGAAATGCTTGTCGGGGACCCAAATACTTTTCATTCAACTAAAGGATCAAAAAAAGAGGACTAGTTTAGATTAAACTGAAATAATGCTGTTTAAACTAAGAAATACTGTTGTGCCAATCACTTTCCCTTCTTTAAAACACTAAAAAAAAAAAAAAAAATCAATAAACACAGACCACTCCAATTATTAAAGATAAAAATCTTTAGAACATCAATTTTCAATAAATGTGCAGGATTATGATTAATATTCCATATCAGGATTATGATTAATATTCCATATAAGCACTAACTTTTTTTCTCATACATATTTCTCCTTTATTCAAAGAATATATCACAGAATACAGAGATCTCTAATTCAGATTTTAGTACAACCAAAACACATGTATGATGTAACATGAAAATATGTCTTAATCATAGAATAAGAATCCACCAAGGAATATCTAAGTGAGACTTCAACTTTATAATATAATATTGTATTGGCCTATAGGAATTATATTTCCATATCTTTATTCTATTAAGCAACATAATAAAGACCTTATACACATATACGCATGCACATACATACACTACACAATATCTAAAAATTGCCTAAATCTTATTTTTACATTTTCTGAGTTTTAAAATGTAGACCATTTAAACAGAATGACTTAATGTTAATTTAATACAAGGGATGTAATCTTAAGTTTCTTTGAATTGCCATATAAACAGTTACATTTAAGAAGCAGGTTAAATTCTCAAATGCCTATCAATATCACTTAAAAAATTAAAAATGAAGCTCATTGATACATACAAATTATTTAAAACTCAGAAATTTTTATTAATAATCCCTTTAAAAAATCTCCCAACATGTATACAATTTAATTATTAATTTAAATACCTGTTCATGTGAGCAGGACCATACCCACCAATGGCATATATCATTCCATCCAATACAGCTGCAGCAAAACAACTTCTTGTCGTAGTCATTGGTGCCACAGGTTGCCATTTTCTTATTTTGGGAATATATTTCTCTACAGATTGTAAATAAGATTGTCCATCATATCCACCTAAAGCATAAAGTTCTCCTGCAAGAACTACTACTCCAAGGGTACTTCGGCTCTCATTCATTCTCTCTAGTGAAGTCCAGGTATTTGTATCAGGATTCCAGCATTCTACTGAATTTTCATGTTTTCTGATAGTGACACCAGGACGCACATTAGTTTCAATACCACCTATAACATACACTTTTTGGTCTAAAACACATATTCCAAATTCATAGCGAGGAATGTTTAAGGGTGCCAAACCAATCCAAGAGTCACTTTGAGGAAAGTACATCTCCACACTAAAGAATAAGCAGAAAAAAATAAATTTTAAAAACCCAAATGGCCCATAAATAAAAATATGTTTAATCTTATCAGTAACCAGGGACATGCAAATTAAAGCCACAACAAACCATGATACATCTTCCAGACTGGCAAAACTGTAAAGATGATAACATCTCTTGGCAAGAATGTGGAGGAAGGAATGCAGATTGTTAGTGAGAGTGTTAACAAGTACAAACAAATCTGGAAAACAATTTCACACTATCCAATAAAGTTCAAGATATGCATGTGCCTTTACTCATCAATTTCATCTCTATGTGTCTACTCTGTTGAACATTTACTATAGTCAGTTTTGTAGTAGGAAACATACAGAAAAGTTCTTTGGAGCACAATGCAATAATCCATCAAAAGGAGAATAGTTAAATAAGGTATAGTATATCTGTCCCATGACTGAACAATTTTACTCTTAAATAGGTACACAAGAAAAATGCATATATTTGTATATGTACAAGAATGTTCACTGCAGTATCATTTGTAATCACCAAATATTGGAAGCAGTCCAAATGTTCATCAACCATATTTACAGCAATGAAAATGAACTGAATACAGCCACATGTACTTGGGGTGAATCTTACATGTATTTTTTTTTAATATTTGTTTTTTAGTTGGATACAATATCTTTATTTTATTTATTTATTTTTATGTGGTGCTGAGGATCAAACCCAGGGCCTCGCACATGCTAGGTGAGCACTCTACTGAGGAGCCACAACCCCAACCCCTTACATGTCTTTTGAGGGAAAGATGATAAACTCAAAATAATATATTTTGCATAATTTCATTTATATCAAGTTCAAAAACATGTAAAACTAATCTCTGGATTAAAAATGTAGATGGTGATTATCACTGGGGTAGGACAGAGAAGGAGCTCCTGAGTGCTATTCTATTTTTTGAACTGGTTTGTACTGCTCACTTTTATGATAATTCACTGAGTGGTACAAGTGGAATTTACACTCTTTTCTATTTATGTGAAAGACTTTAGTATTTAAAATAAAAAAAATTTCATTGTAAAAGAAAAAATTATGCTATGCTAATACACCATGTCAGTGAAAGTAAATGAACTATTTCCTCATGCAATTGCACAAGAGAATTTCATTTACTGTTCAGTGAAAAAACATCTCCAAGTATATATAGCACTTCCATTTATATAAAAATGTATAAAACCTGATAGTAATTGAGTTTCATTTGACAAGAGGAAAAATTATAATGAAAAGCAGAAGGTTAATACAGAATAATGTTTACTTCTTGGGGAGAGAGGGAGATGGCAAGGAGATATGTGGGGTCTTCAAACGTATTTTTAATATCTATTAAGCTTGTTGATATCTGTCTTAGACTGTTTTCTTGCTAATAACACAATATTACAGACTAGATAAGTTATGAAAAAAAGACAATACTTTTGACCAAAAGCCATCTTTTGATGGCTTTCTCATTGGCAGTCTGACCCGGGTGGTGTGTGTGTGTGTGTGTGTGTGTGTGTGTGTGTGTGTGTCTCTCTCTCTCTCTCTTTCCACACACTGGTCATTTCCCACTTCACCAATATTCAATCATGGTGACTCCACTCTGATAACTTTATCTAATTCTAATCACACATCCCCCACTCCCCATCCCCCTCCAAATGTTCTATCTCTAAAAATCATAGTCAAATTAAGTTCCACATCATCATTTCACAATATCAACTCATGAGCCTTTGGGAGACACACTCAAACCATATTATAAACCATATTATTCTACCCTTGGCCCCCAAGGTTAATGTCCTTCTCACAAATGCAAAATGCAATCATTCCATCCCTTCCAGTCCCCAAGGTTTAGCTCATTCCAGCATTAATTCAAAAGTCCAAAGTCTAATCTCCTTCCAGCTGTGAGCCTCTGTTTAAAAAAAAAAAAAAAAGCAGGATACACTTCTAAGTTATAATGGCAGGCTGGCACAGTGGCTCAGGAGGCTAAGACAGGAAGATCAAGAGTTCAAAGTCAGCTTTAGCAATTTAGTGAGGCCCTAAGAAACTCAGTGAGACCCAGTCTCTAAATAAAATACAAAATAGGGTTGGGGCTGGGGCTGAGTGGTAGAGTGCCCCTGAGTTCAACCTCCAGTAACTCCCCCAAATAAAGTTATAATGGCAGGACTGGAATAGGATAAACATTCCTACTTCTGAAAGGGATAAACAGACAAGTAGAAAGGTGTAATTGGGACAATTATGCCAGCAGGGAAGACATTAAACCCCTAAAACTCCAAGTCCAGCCATCTTGTGCATACTGTAGCAGGGGCCCCATGGGTTAGGGCAGCCCTGCCCCAACTGCTTTGCTGATTATAGGTCAGCCACAAGTCCCAAAACTCAGTAATGCAATAGTATAAGAGTATATATTCTTTTTCCAGTATGATCAAAGTATTTTGATTAACTTCATAATTATCAAATCCTATTTATAATCAGTTTTATTATTTAGCTAGATTTTAAACTGTGAATTTGTACCAGTGATATAACAGGGAACAATTTGAGTTTAACAAGATGAGTTTCATTGAGGAAATAGGGATAAACCTTGAGTGGAGAAATTCCAGAGAGCAGGAGATGAGGAAATGAAAACAGCGAATATAGGTAATTTTTCTAATTATTATTTTTTAAATAGAAGAGCAAAACGGACACGAGGAGTTACAAAGTGAAACACAGAAAGACTATGGATGCCAGAAAAATTAATCTGGGAGTTTAGATTATAAGACGTTTGTATGTTCACGGCAAAGATATGGTACACTGGGAGGTGATGATATAAGAGAAAGACAAGATAAGTAGAAGAGCAAAATATTTGCATAAAGAGAAGGAATGGCCCAGACCTGGTGGTACACACCTGTAATCCCAGTGGCTCAGGAGGTTGAGGCAGAAGGATTGCAAATTCAATCCTCAGCAACTTAGTGAGTCCCTAAGCAATTTATTGAGACCTGCTCAAAATTAAAAAAATAAGAAAAGGAGTAGGGATATGGCTTATTAGTTAAGCACCCCTGGGTTTAATCCCTGAGACCACAAAGAAAAATAAAGAAAAAGAAAAGGAATGGAATCTAGTGAATATAAGAAGTAGAAACATACCTTATATATAAAATCAGAGATATGATAAACTATGGTATAATGGTGTATTAAGAATTGTAATGCAAAAATAAATAAATAAAAAATTAAAAAAAAAAGAAGTAGAAGGGTTAGCCTTTAATAGAAATAACAGTAGATTTAGTGATGGGAAGATGAGATAGTTTTCTGGTGGCTTCTTATCTTCTTAATAGAAAAAGGAATAAGGTAATCAGCTAAGAGTTGGAAATACCTGGGATGTTTTTAAAGAGAAAACAGGTGATGTGAGATAGTCCTAGGAAGTAAAAGAATAAATTGAGGAAATTAAAAGTTAATTGCTGGGGAATGCCAAGGTCCTTAAGTGAGATAGTTAAAATGGGCATATATATTTCTTTTTTCTTAATATTTATTTTTTTTTTAGTTTTAGGTGGACACAATATCTTTATTTTATTTTTATGTGATGCTGAGAATCCAACCCAGTATCTCCTGCATGCTAGGTAAGCGCACTATCACTTGAGCCACATCCCCAGCCCAATATGTTTCTTTCTAATATTTCTTTTAGTTATAGATGGGTTCGATTCTTAGCATCGCATATAAATAAAGGTCCAATGACAACTAAAAAAATATTTTTAAAAATCCTTAAGGGGAAAAAATAATAACTGAAGTTATGTTTTAAGTCCAGTTCTTGTTGTAACAACAGAATACCACCAGGCTAAGTAAATTACAAATAACAGAAGTTTATTTTATTTATTAATTTTTATGTGGTGGTGAGGATCAAACCCAGTGCCCCACAGGGGTTAGGCAAATGTTCCACCACTAAGCCACAACTCCAGAACCAGGCATGTGTATTTCTCTTGCCACATTCCAATGCTCAGGTACAACCATGGCACAAGTGGATGTTGTGATTTTAACTAGATGAGTATGATGAAGGAACACAAGGGTTAGGGAGCCATGGTATATTCAAAAGTTATGATGACAATGTTGTTTCTGGACTCTAAGGTGGGAAAGCAGAAAAGATGAGAACATGTGGTGTATGACAAGCAATCAATTCTATCAACTCATTATAGAGCCAATGGATCAAAAATCCTTAAGGAGAGGGCTGGGATTGTAGCTCAATAGTAGAGTGCGCTTGCCTAGAGTGTGTGAGGCACTGGGTTTGATTCTTAGCACCGCATATAAATAAAGGTCCATTGACAACTAAAAAAAGATTTTAAAAAAATCCTTAAGGGGAAAAAATAATAACTGGAATATGTCTTAGTCCAGTTCCTGTTGTAACAACAGAATGCCACCAGGCTAAGTAAATTACAAATAACAGAAGTTTATTTGGCTCACAGTTCTGGGGGCTGGAAGTCCAAGACTGAGGGGCTGCACCTGCTGAAGGCCTTCTTCCTGCACCATGGAAGGCATCACATGGTGAGAGAACACACAAGGAGAGAGAAGGAGGAAGACAGGGAGAGGGAAGAAAAGAGAGAGGAAAAGGAGCCAAATCTCCCCCTCTTACATCTAACCCACTCCTGAGATAATGGCCTTAGTCCATTCATGAGGGTGATGTCCTTAAGACCTAGTCACCACTTAAAGGTCTCACCTCTCAACACTACTGCATTAAGTTTTTAGCATATAAATTTTGGGGAGATACATTAAAATCATAACATTTCACTCTTGACCCCCAAAATTCATGTCTGTCTCATGATGCAAAATACTTTCATTCCATCCCAATAGTTCCAAGAGTCTTAACTCATTCCAGGATCAATTAAAAAGCCCAAAATACAGAGTTTCCTTTAAATCAGATATGGATAGGTCTCAAAGCATGAATCCTTCCACCTGTCAGCCTATCAAATCAAAACAAATTATATAGTTCCAAAATACAATGGTGGGTCAGGTGTTCTCATTCCAAAAAGGACCAATACATAAGAAAGAAGTAACTGGTACCAAGCAGCCCCAAACCCCAACAAGGAAAACAACAGTAAGTCTTAATCTCCCTTGACTCCATGTTCTGTAGCCTGGGCACACAGTGGCAGAAACTGGGACCTCAAGGCCTTAGAAAGCCCCAACCCAATGGCTTTGCTGCATTCAGTTCATCTAGTTCTTCTCATGGTTGGAGGCTAGAGTTTTGTGCCTGTACCTTGCTCAGGCTGGTATTGCATGTTGGTAGTTCTACAGTCCTGGGGTCTTGGTAGTGGCCCCACTCTCATGCTTTCACTAGGGATTACCCTAGTACTGACACTCTGTGGTGGTCTAGTTAACATAGCTTCACTAGGTATAACCTTGCTGAGGGTTCTGCAGTAGCTTCACCTCCAACACTATATTTCCACTCAAGAGTTGCCCTAATAAAAACTCTATACAGTGGATTCACCCCTGCCACAAATCTCTGTGACCCCAAACAGTCCACAACATTCTTAGAAATGAAGGTGAGAAGGCCATGTCCCCATAACTTTTGCATTCTGAATTTGTGCAGAATTCACACCCCTGAACACTGCCAAGGTTTACCACTTGCACTAGCCACAGGGTTGAGATACAGCTGGCTCTGCTTGAGTCAAAACTGGGGCAGCCAGTGAGTGCAGTGCTGGAATGATATGAGCAGATATCTGAGCTGGCTATAGGCAATGGGCTGTCCTCACATGTCCCCCAAAACACTCTGTCTCCTAGAGCTCTGGGCCTGTGATAGAAGTGGCAGCCTCAGTTCTCTAAAATGACTTCCAGGTCTTTCTCCCCTCGTCTTGATGAATAATATCTGGCTCCCTTCTATACATGCTAATCTCTTTAGCTAGCAAGGCCATCACTAAGCCATAGCTTTCATTTGTTCTTTTTTTTTTTTTTTTTTAATTTTTTTTTTAGTTGTAGGTGGATACAATGCCTTTATTTTATTTTTATATGGTGCTGAGGATTGAACCCAGTGCCTTCCACATGTGAGGCGAGCGCTCTACCACTGAGCTACAGCCCCAGCCCTCATTTGTTCTTTTAAACATACATTTTCAATTCTTGGTATATAATTAAACTAATCATTTGTTCAAGAAATCTCATTCTCCTTTTATTCCTGCCTTTCCTGAACATCCTCTCCCTTTATCCATCCAAACTCTGTCCTGTCAATTTCCTCTCTTAAAACACTTTTTAAATTACTGCTCTCTTGGGCTGGGGATATAGATCAGTTGGTAAAGTGCTTGCCTCACATGCACTAGGCCATGCGTTCAATCCCCAGCACCACCAAAAGAAAAAAAAAAAATGTTGCTCTTATTTGTCTTTACTAGTTCTACCCTAATCCAGGACCTCATAATCTGTTGACTGTGTTTCTATAATACTCTTTGATCTAATCACTGTGGTGTTAATCCTGGTTGCTCAATCTTTCTCTGCAATGTAGCCAAAATGACTTAACAGATTAATCTTGATTGTTTCAGTACCCTATTTAAAATAGTTGTGCAATACACATAAAAATTTTCTTTTTATCATGGCATATAATAACTTCTTTGATTCAGTTCACATTCACCACTGTTTGACTTATTAATCAGAACTGTATACTTCCCAATACCAAACAGCTTTTACTTTCCTGCATAACTCATATTATACCATGCCATTGTCCTTGGTCATGAACTTCTGTACAAAATTCTTCCTAAATTCATTCATTCATCCATCTATCTATTTATTTATTTATTTATTATTGGTGCTAGGGTTTGAACCCAGGGGCATTTAATCACTAACCAAAAAAAAAAAAAAAAAAAAGAAATTAAAATCAAGCATAGAAATATATGTAGGGAACAAGTATGTATTAAAAAGTGCCATGACATTTTTTGAAAGAATCACATAGAACTTTTAGAACCAGAAAATATAGTAACCAAAATAAAGAGCACAATGAATGAATGGGTTAAAGGCAGATTAGACACAACTGAAGAGAGAATGAATGAAATAGAGGAGTGGAAGAAATTACATTCAATATAGCATGAAAAGACAAAATAACAGAAAATATAGAATTAGAGACAAAGAGGAAACAGAGAGAGCTCTAATAAATGTTAACTGGAGTCCTAGAAGGTAAAATAGAGAAAGGACAGAGGCAATATTTAAAGAAAATGACTACTAATTTTCCAAAATGCTGAAAGACACCAGTCCACAAACAGAAAAAGCCCAATAAAGCACAAGCAAACTAAATAAAGAGTTAATGGAAGGTCAGTCAATGGATATTAATTATGGTTTGATAAGAGAAATGTGTTCTGGTATTCTATTGCACTACAGATAATAATGTACTGTAGGGTTCAAATAAAGCTAGAAGAAAGGATTTTGAATGTTTTACCATAAATAAACAATAAATGTTTGAGGAACTATATATGTTTACCTTAATTTGAACCTACACAATGTATACATGTATTGAAACCTCAGTGGTACCCCTTAAATATGTGCAATTTTATATGTCCATTAAAAATAAATAAAACAGGACTTAATGGAAATAAGTGCTAGTACATTTAATATAAAAAACATAACATCTGCAACATACTTTCAAAAGGCCAGGAAAAAGTTTTTATGTGGTGATAGAGAAAGCAAAGAGGCAAAATGATAATAATTGGCAAATCTAGATGAAAGTCACATAAAAGGTCTCTGTGCTGTTCTTTCCATTTCTGTAAGTTCAAAATCTTTTGAAAAAAGTTTTGGAATAAAGTTAACTCTAAACAAACAACAAAAAAAAAACACTAACCACATCCCCAAGCCCTTTTTATTTTGAGACAGGATCTCTCAGGATCTCTTAATTTGCTTGGGGCCTCACTAAATTGCTGAGGCTGGCTTTTAACTTGTAATCCTCCTGCCTTAGCCTCCCAAACAGCTGGAATTACAGGCATGTGCCACTGCGTCCGGGCTCTAAATTCTTCCAATGGGAGAAACACCTATCCCTAATACTTCCACAGAATTATCTTTATCACTGAATTAACACTATTATCTATGCAAATATTTTCTCTTTTACTAAATGAGCTTGTTGAAGGCCCATATCTAACAGTGTTATTAGAATTTTTTGAAGAATTAAATTGAATGATCATTCAGGTTGGTTCCAATTTTTCCAGTTATAAATAATGCTGCAATGAATAGCTTTGTGCAAATGATATTTTTAATTTTTAAATTTTATTATGATAGATTGGAAGACAAAAGAATTACTGGGTCTAAAGACAAGAACAGTTTTTATGACTCTTCAATAACTTATGTTCATTATTTTTAATATTTGAAAAACCAAGAGGCAACCAGACTTTTAAAACATACATTCACATTTGGAATTTTTTTTGCCATTCTATTAGTCATTTACTTCACGCCAATAATCCATGTCTTTTAAGAACAAGAACTAAACAATTAATATGTGAAGCTACCACAACTAATGCTTTACCTATAGACTAATCTCAACAATACTAGTTTTAAGACTACAGTTAAAATGTATAGTAAGAATTTTTTTAAAAGATTCAGAATATGAGTTGTAACATCAATAGTTTCCTACCACTGGAGAAAGAAAAGCAATCTACCAAAGTTTTGGAAATTGCCAGAAAGAAATGCACAGCATTATCGAAAAATATCAAACAAAAGTTTGTCTTAAGCAAATTCTATCCAAGGAAAAAGCAAAGATAACATCACACTACATTTTCTAAAAATCTAAAAGTTACTTGCATCATCAAGGACTGGCAAATTCTAAAGGTAGAGTTGGACAGATGTGACAAACACCATACTGCCCATGAAGTCTATATATCTACCTTTGCTAGATCTTTAATAATCTGGCAACTCCTGCTCTAAGTTAATAGAAAAGAAAGCATTGTGGCTGAGGTTGTGCCTCAGTGGTAGAGCGCTTGCTTAGCATGTGCGAGGCACTGGGTTTGATTCTCAGCACTGCACATAAATAAGTAAAACAAAGGTCCATTGACAAATAAAACATATTTATTTATTTATTTATTATTTTTAAATTTTTTTTAATATTTATTTTTTAGTTATTGGCGGACATAACATCTTTGTATGTGGTGCTGAGGATCGAACCCGGGCCGCACGCATGGCAGGCGAGCGCGCTACCACTTGAGCCACATCCCCAGCCCCAAAACATATTTTTTTAAAAAAGCATTTATTACTATTGTTTTGAAAAAATGCTTATAATGAAGAACATAAATTACACATAAAGTCCTCTCCCCCGCCTTTTTTTTTTTTTTTGGTACTGGGGAATTGATTGAGACCATGGATGTTCTGACACTGAGCTACACCCCCAGTCTTTTTCATTTTTATTTTATTTTTTGTCTTGAGACAGGATCTTGCTAAATTGCTGAGGCTGGCCTAGAACTTGTGATTCTTCTGCCTCAGTCTCCTAAGTAGCTAGGATTACAGGTGTGTGCCATCATGCCCAGCTTTTTTCACTTCTTTGCTTGTTCTTCTAAGGATCTGTTTCATTCATTCAAACCCACATTCCTGCCCGCCAGATTGCCCTCCTCACAGGTTCTTAGCTCTCTTCTTTAATATATTCGGATGTAACTGACAATAATAAATCTCCGCTCCATGCTGGTCTGACCCAAATAAAGATGTAAACGGTTCCAGAAAATAAATAAATAAATAAAGACATAAAATGGAAGAAAAGTTAGGAGTAACCAGGATGAATAAAGGTGCACACTTGGGAAGGAAGGTTAATAATTGAGAGTATTATAGAGAATGGATGACAATGTGATTAAAATGACCACATAAATATTCTGGGAGGGAAAAAAAAGCAGCAAATAAAAGTAAAAAGTAAAACCAAATTATTTTTAAAATACAGAAAATTAGCACATTTAAAAAGCACAAAAATCTATAAATATCACTCCTTTAACAAAGCCTTCTATTTACCTATCCAAACAGGCAAAGAGTCCAGATTTTCCTCCTACGGCACAAAGTACTTTGGGAGCACAGCGAGGTCGCGTCATCAAGACTGTCTGATGAGAGAGTCTATGTTCAGGCATAAAGTGGTACTTTAAAGCTTCATTCAAAAGATGTTTACAAGTACGATCATCACGAATAAGATGATTTGCTTCATATAGCCTAGTGAGAAACTTAACACTCAGCAATGGTAATCGTACACTATTTAGTAGCTGTGCTAAGTATTTCTGGCGTTCTTGTACATCATACTTGATCCAAGACTCTAATGCATAAAAAACAGTCTCTTCAGTAGCTACATTCAAACAGTCATTGGAAACAATTTCATCCAAATCTGCATGTGTAAGCTCAAAAAACTCTTCTGTCTGGCATACAGCTTCAAAATTCTGGCATATGTATTTAGTGGCTGCCAAATAAAGGTCATGGCAACCATATGTCTCTGCAAAACGAGATATTCCAATACAGTTCCCAGGATCAAGCTGGCTTTCAAGAAATGCACAACATTCTTTCAGGACAAGTTTTATCTGAAGTAGGTTTGCTGCTGGAAGGAGAGATTCAACTGTATCCTGAGAAATAAAAACAGTCCCTGTATAGGCATATTCCACAATGGCCTGGAGAGCAGTTTCATCAATGGACTGAAATTCAACCTCACTGTTTTCTTTTTCAGAAAGGTTTCCAGTGAACATAGCTTTGAAATATGGGCTGATGCTGGCAAGTACCACTTTGTGAGCATAAATTTTAACATCACCTACACGAAGAATGATGTCACAGAGTTCGTGATGCTGACGAAGAAGATTCAAGCCCTGAAGAAGTTGTTCAGAATGTAAGTGCGCTAAGTTAGCAAGCATGTAGGTCGGGGATGTGTGGTCCATCTACAGAAAAACAAAAAGCATGGACAGTTACTTCAAAATAATCATGCCAGTATGATTCTTTGTTTTAAACAGTACAATGAAAATCAGATTTATTGTTCATTTTCCTGTATTCTTTTGGTTTTAAAATACTTAATATTAGAACATAAGCTTTCAGAGTTAGAAGGGATTTAATAGTCATGCAATTCAACTCCTTTCTTGCAAGATGGTGACCCAAAATGTTAAATACTATGTTCCAAGCCATGAAAATCTCTGGACAATGGACTTTTAGATCAAAACTCTGCCAAAAACACTGTTCCTTCAACAAATTCAAGTCTGAGCCAGGGAAACAAAACGCTAATATGTCGGGGGAACCTTGTTTACAGCAAAATTAAGTTTTGAAACAACACTATCTATTTGGCTATTTTCTTAATATTAGTAACTGTAATTGGAAAAAAATTCATGTTAATTCAAAAACTTTACAACAAAATTCAAAACTTATAAGAATATAGACGACACAATGAAGACAGTAAGAAATCTTAAGCAGAACATTCAAAAAATATGGGATAGTATAAAAAGACCAAATTTAAGAGTTACTGGGATAGAGGAAGGCATAGAGTTCCAAACCAAAGGAATTGAACAATCTATTCAATGAAATAATATCAGAATTTTCTCCAAACATGAAGAATGAATTGGAAAACCAAATACAAGAGGCTTACAGAATGCCAAAAGTACAAAATCACAACAGATCTATACCAAGGCACATTATAATAAAAATGTCTAGCATACAGAATAAGGAGAGGATTTTAAAAGCCATGAGAGAAAGGAATCAGACTACATATAGGGGGAAACCAATTAAGTTATGAGCAGATTTTTCAACCCAGACCTTGAAAGCTAGAAGATCCTGGAACAACATATACCAAACTGTGAAAGAAAATGGACGTCATCCAAGAATCTTGTATCCAAAAAAATTAAGCTTTAGATTTGATGATGAAATAAAAACCTTCCGTGATAAACAAAAAGTTAAAATAATTTACAACTAGAAAGCCCACACTACAGAACATCCTTGGCAAAATATTCCATGAAAAAGAAATGAAAAACAACGAAGAAAATCATCAGAGGGAGGTATTACACTAAAGAAATAACTAATCAAAGGAGAAACCAAGTAAAGTTAAATACCAAAATAAACCAAAAATGGCTGGGAATACAAGTCATGTCTCAATAATAACACAAGTTGTTAATGGCATAAACTCACCAACCAAAAGATATAGACTAGCAGATTGGATCAAAAACAAAAAAAGACCCAACAATATGCTGCCCTCCAAGAGACTCATCTCATAGGAAAAGACAGCCACAGACTAAAGGTGAAAGGTTGGGGAAAATCATACCACTCACATGGACTGTGGAAGCAAGCAGGGGTTTCCATCATCATATTAAATGAAGTAGATTTCAAGCTAAAATCAATCAAAGGGATAAAGAAGGTCCTTTCATATTGCTCAAGGGAACCATACACCAACAAGATTTAACAATTATAAATATATATGCCCCAAACAATGGAGCATCTACATTCATCAAACAAACTCTTCTCAAGTTCAAGAGTCAAACAGACCACAACACAATAATTCTGGGTAATGTTAACATACCTTTTTCACCACTGCATAGATCTTCTAAACAAAAGCTGAACAAAGAAACTCAATATAGAACTCAATAATACAATCAATAACTTAGACTTAACTGACATATATAGAATATTTTATCCTTCAACGAGTGAATACGCTTTCTTCTCAGCACCACATGGATCCTTCTCTAAAACAGATCATACATTATGCCACAAAGCAACTCTTAGCAAATACAAAAAAGTAGAGATATTACCCTGAATTCTATCAGATTACTGAAAATGAAATTAGAAATCAATGACAAAATAAAAAATAAAAGCTACTCCAACACCTGGAGACTAAATAATATGCTACCGAATGAACAATGGATTGCAAAAGACATCAAGGAGGAGATTTGAAAATTCTTAGGGGTAAATGAGAACACTGATACAACTTATTGAAATCTCTGAAACACTACAAAGGCAGCTCTAAGAGGAAAGTTCATTGCATGGAGTGCATTCTTCAAAGAAGAAAAAGTCAACAAATAGATGACTTAACATTACATCTCAAAGCCCTAGAAAAAGAAGAACAAACCAACACCAAAAGCAGTAGAAGACAGGAAATAATTAAAATCAGAGCTCAAATCAATGAAATTGAAACAAAAGAAATAACCGAAAAAACTGACAGAACAAAAAGTTGGTTCTTTGAAAAAAATAAATAAAATTGACAAACCCTTAGCCATGCTAACGAGGAGACGGAGAGAGAAAACTCAAATTACTTACACGATGAAAAAGGAAATATCATGACAGACACTACAGAAATAAAGAAGATAATTAAAAATTATTTTGAAAACTTGTACTCCAATAAAATAGAAAATATCAAAGGCATCGACAAATTTCTAGAGTCCTATAATTTGCCCAAATTGAGTCAGGATATACACAATCTAAACAGATCAATTTCAAGCAATGATGTAGAAGACACCATCAGAAGCCTACCAACCAAGAAAATCCCAGAACCGGATGGATACACAGCTGAGTTCCACAACACCTTTAAAGAAGAACTAATACCAACACTCTTCAATTTATTTCAGGAAATAGAAAAAGAGGGCCATACCAGTGGCCTCATAGAATCAGCACTTCCAAACTCATTCTATGAGGCCAATATCACCCTGATTCCAAAACCAGTCAAAGACACATCAGAGCAAGCAAACTTCAGACCAATATCTCTAATAAATATAGATGCAAAATTATCAATAAAATTCTCGCAAATCGAATACAAAAACATATCAAAACGACAGTGCAACACGATCAAGTGGGATTCATCCCAAGCATGCAAGGTTGGTTCAACATACAGAAATCAATAAATGTAATGCGTCACATCAATGGGCTTAAAGAATCATATGATTACCTCAATAGATGCAGAAAAAGCATTCGACAAAACACAGCACCTCTTTCATGTTCAAAACATTAGAAAAACTAGGGATAACAGGAACATATCTCAACATTGTAAAAGCTATCTATGCTAATCCCCAGGCCAACATCATTCTAAATGGAGAAAAATTGAAAGCATTCCTTCTAAAAACTAGAACAAGACAGGGATGCCCTCTTTCACCACTTTCATTTAACATAGTTCTTGAAACACTGGCCAGAGCAATTAGATGAAAGAAATTAAAGGAATACAGATAGGAAAAGAAGAACTCAAATTAGCACTATTTGCTGACGATATAATTCTATACCTAGAAGACCCAAAAATTTCACCAGAAAACTTCTAGAACTAGTAAATGAATTCAGCAAAGTAGCAGGATATAAAATCAACACCCATAAATCAAACACGTGTATGTACATCAGTGGCAAATCCTCTGAAAGGGAAACAAGAAAAACTACCCCATTTATAATAGCCTTAAAAAATAAAATAAAATACTTGAAAATCAACTTAACAAAAGAGATTATAATGAAATGTCATGAAAACTACATAAGGAAAACATAACCTCTATAATGAAAACTACAGAACGCTAAAGAAAGCAAAGAAAACCTTAGAAGATACAAAGATCTCCCTTGATATTGGATAGGCAGAATTAATATTGTCAAAATGACCATACTACCAAAAGCACTATACAGATTTAATGCAATTCCAATCAAAATCCCAGTGGTACTCCTCATAGAAATAGAAAAAGCAGTCATTAAATTCATCTGGAAAAATAAAAGACCCAAAATACCTAAAGCAATCCTCAGCAAGAAGAGTGAAGCAGGTAGCATATACCAGACCTTAAACTATACTACAGAGCAATAATAACAAAAACAGCATGGTGTTGGCACCAAAAGAGACTTGTAGACTAATGGTACAGAATAGAAGACAAAGAAACAATTCCACAGATTACAGTTATCGTATATTAGACAAAAGCACAAAAAACATACATTGGAGAAAAGATAGCATTTTCAACAAACAGTGCTGGGAAAATTGAAAATTCATATGCTACAAAATGAAATTAAGCCCCTATCTCTCACCATGAACAAAACTCAAAGTGAATCAAAGACCTAGGAATTAAACCAGAAACACTGTACCTAACAGAGAAAAAGTAGGCCCAAATCTCCATCATGTTAGATTAGGCCCCGATTTCCTTAGTAAGACTCCTATAGCACAAGAATTAAAATCAAGAATCAATAAATGGGATAGATTCAAACTAAAAAGCTTCTCCTCAGCAAAAGAAACAGTGAGGTGAATAGAGAGCCTACATTTGGGGAGCAAATTTTTACCACATGCATATCAGATACAGCACTAATCTCTAGGATATATAAATAACTCAAAAATCTTAACACCAAAAAAAACAAATACTCAATCAATAAACGGGCCAAGGAACTGAACAGATACTTCTCAGAAGGTGATATACAATCAATCAATAAATATATGAAAAAAATGTTCAACATCTCTAGCAATTAGAGAAATGCAAATCAAAACTACTCTAAGATTTCATCTCACTCCAGTCAGAATGGCAGCTATTAAGAATACAAACAACAATAAGTGTTTGCAAGAATGTGGGGAAAAAGGCACACTCATACACTGTTGATCGGACTGCAAATTGGTGCAGCCAATATGAAAAGCAGTATGGATATTCCTTGGAAAACTGGGAATGGAACCACCATTTGACCCAGCTATCCCACTCCTCGGTCTATACCCAAAGGACTTAAAAACAGCATGCTACAGGACACAGACACATCAATAGCAGCACTATTCACAAGAACTAAACTGTGGAAGCAACCTAGATGCCCTTCAGTAGATGAATGGATAAAGAAAATGTGGTATATACATACAATGGAATATTATTCAGCATTAAAAGAGAATAAGATCATAGCATTTGCAGGTAAATGAATGGAGCTGGAGAATATAATGCTAAGTGAAGTTAGCCAATCCCAAAAAACCAAATGCCAAATG